TAATTAACTCACTGTGGGCCTCCACCAGCTCCACCTGCATGGCGTAGGGCACCAGGGGCTCCGGCAGCTCCGAGAAGAAGCTTTTCATGGCCCCAGCCACGGTGTTGACGGTGAAATCCTTCTCGGCCAAGTCCAGCCCGTGGTCTGGGGGGGCACAGTCGGGGGGGTCAGAGCCCCAAAACCCACCCAGGGAGCAGTTCTGGGGGGGCTCAGACCCCAAAAACATCCCCAGGGAGCAGTTTGGGGGGCTCAGACCCCAAAAACATACCCAGGGAGCAGTTTGGGGGGCTCAGATCCCAAAACCCACCCAGGGAGCCCACGAGGAGCAGTTTGGGGGGCTCAGATCCCAAAACCCACCCAGGGAGCCCACGAGGAGCAGTTTGGGGGGCTCAGATCCCAAAACTCACTCAAGGAGCAGTTTGGGGGGCACGGACCCCAAAAACATCCCCAGGGAGCAGTTTGGGGGGCTCAGACCCCAAAACCCACCCAGGGAGTAGTTTGGGGGGCACAGATGCCAAAACCCTCCCAGGGAGCTCAAGGAGCAGTTTGGGGGGCTCAGACCCCAAAAACATCCCCAGGGAGCAGTTTGGGGGGGCTCAGATCCCAAAATTCCCACAGAGAGCCCACCAGGAGCAGCTTGGGGGGCACAGACCCCAAAAACATCCCCATGGAGCAGTTGGGGGGGCTCAGATCCTAAAACCCACCCAGGGAGCAGTTTGGGGGGCACAGACCCTCAAATTCCCCCTGGAAGCCCGTTTTCGGGGTTCCCAGACCCGTTTTTGGGGTTCCCAGGCCCGTTTTTGGGGTGCCTGTGGGTGTTACCCTGGTCAAACTGTCGCTGCAGACTCTCCATCTCCGACTTGTTCCCGCTGACCCGGTAAATCCCTTCCGTGCTCAGCCCTGTGGGAACAGCACAAACCTCATTCCCAGCTCCCCAAAATCCAGGATTTATCCCTGCCCTGCCCATCCCAAAGCTCAGGTTGAACTTTAGGTTGGGTTTTTGGGGGGGTTTTAGGGGCAGAAAACCCGGAGGAAGGAGAAGGAGCTGCTCCTTTCCCTCCTTTCCTTGGGCTGCCCCTTCCAGGGGAAAATTCCAGAGGAGGGGAAAAAAAAAAAAAACCCTGGAGCTCGTTCTGGGGTTAATTTGGGCTGTCCCGGGGGAGAACTCGGCACTAAAAACCCCTGGGAGGGGAAGGGGGACCCCAAAAAAGCTCCCACCCCGAGGGGCTGGGGTGGGACCAGCAAAGCCTGAGGGTGGTGGTTCTCCAGGGGATAACAAAGTTCCTTCTCCCAGGGAATGATGAAGGATCCAGGGAATGATGAAGGATCCAGGGAATGATGAAGGATCCTGGGAAGAGTTTGATGCTTCCCAAAAAAACCTGAGGAGCCCCAAAAAAGGTCCCACCCACAGGATCAGCCCTGAAGGGTCTGGGAGGGGACCCAAAAACCCGAGGGTGGTGTTTCTCCAGCAGGTTCCTTCTCCCAGGGGCCACCAAATCCTCCTCCTCCCGGGGGACACCGGGACGATCCCGGCTCTTCCCAAGGATCCTGGGAAGAGTTTGATGCTTCCCAAAAATCTGTGGAGCCCCAGAAAAGGTCCCACCCACAGGATCAGCCCTGAAGGGTCTGGGAGGGGACCCAAAAACCCGAAGTTGGTGGTTCTCCAGGGGACAACAAAGGCTCCTTCTCCAGGGGAATAATGAAGGATCCAGGGAATGATGAAGGATCCAGGGAATGATGAAGGATCCAGGGAAGAGTTTGATGCTTCCCAAAAAAACCTGAGGAGCCCCAAAAAAGGTCCCACCCACAGGATCAGCCCTGAAGGGTCTGGGATGGGACCTGAAGGCCCGAGGCTGGTGGTTCTCCAGGAATAACAAAGCTCCTCCTCCCGGGGGACGCCGAGGGGGGCCGGGACGGCCCCGGCCCTTCCCCAAAACCCCCTGGGACGGGGTTTCCTCACCCGTGGCCTCGATGTACTCGATGCAGCGCTCGATGAAGACGGGGATGGGCCGCTCGGGGGACACGACGCTGGCCAGGGGCACCCCGAAGTAGCTGCTCTCCCACGTGCTCTTGGTGACCGAGGGCCGCGCCTTGGGCTTTGGTTTCTGTGGGGATTTGGGAGGAGTTCTTGACTGGTTTGGCCTGGGTTTGGGATTTTTGGGGGCTCTTCTGGATTTCGGGGGGGGTTTTTGGGTGTTTTTAATGATTTCTGTGGCTGGGGGAGGCCACCAGTGAGCAACTGGTGTCACCATCAGTGACCAACTGGTGTCACCACCACTGACCCCTGGGGGACATCACCAGTGACCAACTGGTGCCACCCTGCCCACCAGTGACCAACTGGTGTCACCTTCCCCACCAATGACCCCTGGGGGACACCACCAGTGACCAACTGGTGCCACCATCCACACCACTGACCCCTTGGAGACACCACCAGCGACCAACTGGTGCCACCATCCCCACCAGTGACCCCTGGGGGACACCACCAGTGACCAACTGGTGCCACCTTCCCCACCAGTGACCCCTGGGGGACACCACCAGTGACCAACTGGACGTGCCACCATCCACACCAGTGACCCCTTGGACGGACCATTCCCTCCAGAGTTGGGCTCCACGACCCTCTTGGGTCCCTCCCAACTCAGAACATTCCCTGATCCAACCAGGAGTGACCCCAAAACAACTCCTCTACCACCCCCAGACCCCCCCTTAGCCAGGACAGACCTTGGTGGTCCTCCTGAGGCTGCGCAGGATGTTCCTCCTCCCGGATGGACCATTCCCTCCAGAGTTGGGCACCATGATTCTCGTGGATCCTCCCAACTCAGAACATCCCCTGACCCAAAACCAACTTCTCCAGGACCCCCAAACCCCACCTCCTGGATGGACCATTCCCTCCAGAGTTGGGCTCTGTGACCTTGTGGGTCCCTCCCAACCCAGAACATTCCCTGATCCAACCAGGAGTGACCCCAAAACAACTCCTCTACCACCCCCACACCCCCCTTAGCCAGGACAGACCTTGGTGGTCCTCCTGAGGCTGCGCAGGACGTTCCTCCTCCTGGATGGACCATTCCCTCCAGAGCTGGGCTCCACAACCCTCTTGGAACATTCCCTGACCCAAAACCAAGTTCTCCAGGACCCCAAACCCCACCCCACCACCCCCA